ACAGCCCGGCACGTATGCAGTTTACGGACTGCGGCTGTTTGAAAGGTTTCTTCCATAAAATTAATCGATTCTAGACTAATTCGACTCAACATTTCCAAAATACGTATAATTTTTTGGGAATAATCCATATAAACTATGCTATAAACAAAAAAACTGTAGGATTACTTACCGAGCGTGCACCGTTCGACTACGCCATTACTTAAGCTTGATTTCGTCGTGGAGCTTGTCGTCGAATGGCGCTCGCGTGCTTCCTGATAAATTATTTTTTTTGCGAAAAATTCGCTGAACTTTGGAGACATCATTAATATAAATATAATTTTTATGGACGTTAAATAATAAATGGTTTTTAGTAGGTCCGCTGCTCGTTTAAACTCAGCGGTTTGTGCAATATCCGTCCGCTATTGGTCTAGATTCGACCAATTCTGTGGCGACACGAGTCGGCGATGACGTTTTACCGAATTATACGAGTTTTTTTTATCGTGTTTGTACGAATACTGTCACAATTTTTTCGCCGTGATATAAGAATCTGAACTATAGGAACCCGTTTTATAGGGGGGTCGACTCTACTTCATCATACTTCTCTTTACCATTATTCCAGTTCTAATTATAGTTATTTAAAAGTTGCCCCTACGAAGACGAGCCCTTAAACACACCTTCATTAACTATAAATAATTCTCTTTATATCTTACATATACGATACTAGGATTTTAAATACTATTTTCGACATAATTTTTATATCCTTATATAGCCTATATTGAATTTTATGGAATAAAAAAAGTAAGTTATATTGGCTAATTTAACGTTTTTAAAATTAATTATATAGGTTTTTAATTATATTTATAAGTAAAATAGATTTATAGGAATAATTCTAGTCTTTTATCTAAATTTTCGTGTTATTAATTAATCTATACTAATATTATAATGAGATAATGTTTGTAAGTTTGGATGTAGGGGGTAATCTCCAAAACTACTCATCCGATTTCAAAAATTCTTTCACCAATATTTAGAATGGAACTTCGGGGTGGACATAAGCTGTATATTATTCCGGTAAACATTCATATAAATTAAAAGATATTATCTAGGTTAAGGTTTTTATGTCCAACGGATGGCGCTACGAATACGACGACCTAAGTTTGTTTTTCTGTGAGCCATTATGCTTTTCTGTGAGGATGAACTAAAGCAGATCATCTTCTATCTATCTATATAAATAAAAATGTAATGTTCGTTTGTTCCTACCGATTCCTTTGAAATTTTGACACAACGCTGCATTCGAATACGCACGTGTTTTTATATAATATACGTGTCTGAAATTCCCCCCACTAATCCTAACCATCTCCCCACTGAAGGGAGATGGTTAGGATTAAGGCTTACGGTAAAGAAATCTGCTTCTATTTATACTATTTTAGATGCGGGTTTTTGCGTTTTTGATTGCATTTTAATAAGGTAGGTCAAGAGAATGTACACTAAGAAGGGATTTTTCGAAAAATATCTCCCCATGGGGTAAGTGTTATACATTTATAACGGAGATACATTTTGAGCCACAACAACGCCTGGTGGGGTCTGCTAGTACCGTATTTTGACGAGTATAAGTCGCTGTCGAGTATAAGACGCACCCTATTTTGAGACAGAAAATTTAGAAAAAACTTTGTTAATGGGAGATTGCATTTTGTTCGTTTTTTATTCTAGAATATGACGGATGAGTGAATCGACACCTTTATTAAACTGAAATAATCGTCGTTTCTTAATGTAAACTCAGAGGTCACGCAATGACAGTCGACAGAACATGGCGGCGATGACTCGTGTGTCGCTATTCTGATAATCTAGGTACTCTAACCATTCGGTTGAGGGACCATGTGCTTAACGGATCACTGCACAGGTTGGTCCCTAGAGTGGATCACTACTGTAAATAATTTCACTGTAAAAATGGTTACCTATCGAGTATAAGACGCACCATGATTTTGAGCCCCAAAAAGTAGTAAAAAAAGTGCGACTTATACTCGTCAAAATACGGTAATTATATATTATAATTTTCTAAATTTAAAAAAAATTTCATTTATATTCGATATTTTAATTTACATTTTATTTTATTAGATATTTGACATGCTCGTAATTTATTTAAATATTTATAAAATAAAATGATTTTATTTTTTAAGAAAAATTTCAATAATTTTATATTTTTATAATTGTTCTATATAATTATAGTTTTATTAGTTTCAATATAAATAACATATTAAATGCGCTAATGCGTCTAAAGTTTGTTAATTAAAAAAATAATCGTAATTAGGATTTAAGTTTCAATATTAATTAAGTGTAATTTTGTTAAAAATTGTTAACGTCAAAACATTACGTTAGAAAAATTGTTTTGTTTTAACTTTTTATCAAAAACTATCTAAAATTAATCATAATTAAGTATTATCAAGGAAGTTTTCAGATATTCTGGATGTTCGTGACGTTACAAAATTATGGTACGATGTAACGTAATTTTATTATTTAATTTAATACTGTGCTTAATTATTAAATACATTAATATTAAATTATTACTGTATTTTAAATATTTAAAATGATATTTTAAGTAAAATAGTTAGATAATAACCGTGTAGTTATTATTATCCCTATTGTTACATTAAAATGGTGAGACAAGTGCTATTTGACTGTCGTAATGTTATTTAAAATTTTATTATTTGGAAATAATTATTGTGCATTCAAAATTAAATTTTCTTTCTTCAGCTTCATAATTTGTTAAGTAAATTTTAGAAACAATTTTACAATTTCTTTAGCTTAAATATATATATATCTTAAGTACGTAATAAAATTAAAAATAACAATGAAAAGAGAATGTTTAAGTTTAAAAATAATAATAAAACTGAAATTTTAAAGAATATTTTAAATTTTATTTGTCTACTAAATTTATAATTTGTCTTTGTTTTTATTAGTCCGAAAAGAAAATAATAAATAACATTTCAATTTGCTGAAAGTAAAAAATTTTTTGAATGATCGTAAACAAAATTTAATTTAATTCCGCGTTTTATCAAATCTAAATTTATAAATTATGCATGTCATATAAAATTGATCCATTTTACTCCAACGAAACAAAATGGCAGTCATTTAATCTTCTAATTTTTTTTTTTTTTGCATAAAATGAAATTTCGAATTATACAACACTATTTTGTATCCCCAAAATCTAGTAATAAATTGAGAATTTTTCCAAGATTTAAATCTTAGAAAACATTAATTTATATGACAATTTACATAAAGTTAAATTTAAAAAGATAATGAAAACACACCGTTTAGGATAAGAAATAAAACAAGTGATAGTTCCTAAAGAATTGAAAACGTTGAAGAAGGAAAAGACTTTATACAATAACTACTCTTAATTAAACTGGGAATAACAAATTTTAATAAGAATTATGTTTGATATTTTCCTCTTAACTTTTAACTTTCAGGTGAAACTTTTTAATTAAATCTTGTCCAAAGACATATTACAGTCATTTAGTAAATTCTTTCTGGTTATTTGATAGTAGTTGTTGTTTGGTTGATAATCTGAAAATATTTCTAATATTTTCATTTTTTTCATGAAGGTTAACATATTGTTTCATTGTTAGTGTATGTTAGTATCTACATGTATGTTTATCCTCTTCACATATTTAAATGTATTTCTAATAAATCGTTTATAGAATTATTTATAAATCTATCTGTATAGGTATAAATCTACGCACTTACAAATGCATACATTTAAATATCTACACATATTGATATAGTAATATTTTCTGATGGTTTGTCTTCATTTTAATATTTTTGATAAATATTGAAATGTTCATTTACAATCAAATACTAGAAATAATTAATACAAACTAAAAAAAATTTAACATTCATATAATATCTCAATAAACTCATAAATTAATAAATTACGTCTTTCGATTAAATGAAACATTCTTTATTAAGAAAACTTATGCTTCGTTTCCCAGAAACAGAATCATCGAAAAGAAATCTGTTTTTATTCTTATTCTGTTTCTCTTCTATATCCACTACACCAAGAATTGAACAGAACTCAGTAGACTCTTGCGGTCAATAACAGAAATAATAACAAACAAAAATGGATGGCGATACTTCGTTAATGATGCATATTTTGTCATTATGAAATTTGTTGCTTATCGAGGAAAAGTTAAAAACCACTCATAAACGAATTCCTTTATTCTCTTCTTTTGTCATTTAATTTGAAAACTAAGCTTTCCAATAGTTAGAAAAATTACATCAAAATACTGTATCACTTTTCAATTGGTATAATATAAAAATGGAATGTATAACTGAACGAAAAAAGTAGAAATATTTTCAACTTTTTTTCCCCATCCAGAATCCATTCAATCTGAAATTTCTAGAAAGGAATTCTAGTTTGTTTCTGTAATATTTTTCTGGTAATGTAGGAAATCAAGCTTAACTCTTAAAATTATAAAATTTTAATAATTAGGATACCTTTATGAACAACAATTCCCCATTTACAAACTAGGAAAATAGATTCTGTAAAAAGAAACTTTTGTTTGTTTAAATTAATTTTTATTGTTACTCACTCTAAAAGTTTATCAACTAAAATATAACATTTCGTAAATTTTCATTTTTTAGTATGTGTATTTAGAATATTGTTAGTAAAATTCTTTTTATTACTTAATAATTTTACATCACATAAAATTGTGTTTTTTTATAATTACTGAATTGTAATTGCTACTTTCTATAAATCAATATTTTTTGTTAGGTCTACATAAGTTTACATATGATTTAAAAATTATAAAATATATAAGGAATAATAATAATAATAATAATAAATAGCTATACTTGTTACGCTTTTCTGCAGAATTACTTTTTACAATGAATTAAAGTAATAAGTTTTGCATGAAATTGAAGAACATGAATTTTTTTATTGATGTTTAATATATATATATATATATTTTTTTTTTAAA